AGCCTGACACAGGGCTCAATCCCACAAACCATGAAATCATGACCTGAACTGACATCAAGAGTCGGATGTTTAGCTGACTGAACCTTCAACCCAGGTGCTAAAAAATAATTTGTTAAATCCCAAATTAAAAAAAAAAAAATTTTATTGACTTAAGTAGTCTCTGTGCCCAACATGGGGCTCGAACTCACGACCCCAAGATCAAGAGTCACATGCTTTTCTGACTGAGCCAGGCACCTCCCTGTTCATCCTTCCTTCACTTTCTCAGATTATACCAGAAATACATATCCTTGATAGTCATAAAACAATAAAAGCCATTTAGACAATTTCTAAACAAAGTATAACCTTTCCTCATAATATTTTACTTTTGCAAGGATTGGTGAGAAATAGACTTGGAAATCATCCCCGGGCAGTTCTGTGCCCAGTGGTATAGAATTGAGTAGCCCTGAAGAACTGTGGAAGCACAAAACCAAAGGGGAGGGGGAGAAGGACGTTAGAAACGTTTCATTTCAGGGAACTTCAAACATACAGAAAACTCTTGTAAAAGTGTTATTTTTCATGCAGATAAATAGTTTGAGAGGAGGGCGGTAAGAAATATGACCCTAGTGATAAAATGGTGGTAGCAGAAATGTCTTCTGGAACAAGGGCTTCGTTTTCTGGAGCACATTGTGCACGTTCAAACCTCCTCTTCTTACTCTTGGCACTGGGCCGCCTACTTGAGCCAAAGTCTTTCACATTTATTTCAGTCTGATCGCATGTTAAAATGAAAACCTGGAGTCATATTTGTGTGCCATTCAAGGACTCAGATACACATTCACTTAAGTAAAGTTGTTTCTCTCTTTTTGGGACTGGGATCATAGCTAACACACTGTTATTTTCAGAAGAGATGGAACCTTCTATATAGCTGGTAAACACTAGTTTTGCCTCATTCATTGGAAAACACCATTGGGCCTCAGGACATCAATCAGCCTGAAAGAATCAGCAAAAGGAAGGAAAGTCTTAAGTGAAAGATGCAAAGTTGGTTTTAGGTTTAGAATGATGTATGTGTCTAGACCTGTTTATATTATCTGCTTCAAAGACATGCAGGAGCCACCAGAAATAGGGGAGCTTTATGGTTTTTAGTCATTTCTTTAAGAATGGCTCCGTTGTTTTTCTAAAGAATAATAATGTAGTAACATTAGAAATGAACCACGAATAAGACAACTTTAGCAGCAAATACAATGGAGCTGCAGTGAAGGAGGGAACAGTGGCAAGTGTTAATAGAATAGAAACAGTTATATAATAAATGTATCACTTTGGAAAAGACCGACACTTATGTGGCAAGCAATCAGAGCACAAACCATAGAGTAGGCTCTACGGTTTTACTCTGGTGTGGAACTGGAAATCTTACCATTTCACAGTAGCCTGCCTCATGAAAGATGCACAAATATTATATTTCAAATAATTAGCAGAACTCTTGGGAATGTCTGAGATTAAGCAATGTTTTTAAGTTACCCTGTATTCATATATGCTAAACAAAAGCATCTTGAACTCTGGGAAATTTAAAAAGAATACACACACACACACACACACACACACACACATATATACATATAATTATATAATATATATATATTCATGTGGAGCGGGTAGATTTTTCTGTATGAGCTCAACTCAGGTAGAGAGCGAGGACCAGTGGCTGTTAGCTTCAGTAAGATAGATTTTTTTTTTAATTTTTTTTTCAACGTTTATTTATTTTTGGGACAGAGAGAGACAGAGCATGAATGGGGGAGGGGCAGAGAGAGAGGGAGACACAGAATTGGAAACAGGCTCCAGGCTCTGAGCCATCAGCCCAGAGCCCGACGTGGGGCTCGAACTCCCGGACCGTGAGATCGTGACCTGGCTGAAGTCGGACGCTCAACCGACTGTGCCACCCAGGCGCCCCAGATAGATTTTTTTTTTAAATAGTTCTAAGTTCCTTTCTAATAGAGCAATTCAAAATTCAGATTAGGCTAGTTTAAAAGTTTTTGAGGAGCCACAATAGAACAATAAGAAAAAATTTTTAAGAAACTGAAAACTTGAGATACAGAGGAATAAAATTAACGGAAGATGAGCAAGACCTCTACATGAAAATGACAAAAGATAAAAGAGAAGTCATAAAGAAGTTCCAAAGCAATGGAGCGAAATACCCTGTACTTGGATTGGAAGACTGGATATTGTGAAGAAGTCGTTTTTCAAAACCAGACTGGTCTGTATTTAGTGGTAATCTCCATTTAAATCCTAGCGGGTTTTTTTTTTCCACAAGCTTACCCTAAATTTTATATGGAGGTGCAGAGAGCTAAAGATAGCTGTGGCAGTCTTGAAAAAGACCTAGATCACAGACATCAGGACACTTATCAAGTGATAGTAATTAAAACCTGTAGGTTGGTGTAAAGACACCAGTGGGACAGAAGAGAGGATCTGAAGACACGTATTTATGTTAAAGCTGGCACTGTGGTACAGTGGGAACAGGGTGGTCTGTTCAATAAAATCATGTTTGGGCAATTAGAAATCCATGTGGAAAAATACATTAGGAATGCCAATCCTTATCTCATACCATGCCAAAGTAAATTTCAGGTGGATTGAAATTTCAAGTGAAAGGTAAAACATAAAGTACTTAGGGAAAAACAGAGGAGACTAACTTTAGGACCTTGAGGTAAGCAAAGATTTCTTCAGTAGACCTACAAAAAGCACTAACCATAAAAGAAAAAAAGTAAGTTAAACTTCACTTACACCTAATTTCCAACAAAGGATTGTCGTAATACCTATTTCCAACAAAGGATTCCTATCCAGTGTGTGTGTGTGTGTGTGTGTGTGTGTGTGTGTGTGTGTGTGTGTGT